AGGAATGGAAGGAAAGAGGAGATTCCTCTTCTTAAGTCCTTTACTTCAAATGTCTTTCAGTTTGTTAGTGTTTTCCTTAGGATTCCTATAACCTATATTTGCAATGTGGCACTGTTTTATGCAGGTGATCCTTTTTCTCAGTATTTTAATGTATTGCTTGTTTTTCCTACTTTAGTCTTAAATAAAGACTGACATCTTAACATCTTTGTAAAACTTCAGAAAGTGTTATATTTCCAATTGAAAATTGCCTTTTCATGGAAATTAATTATCATACATTCCAGGTTTGAAATTCTTTAATAGGATTCTTTACCGGCTTGATATGAGCCAGCAGTGTGCCCAGGTGGAAAAAGGCCAATGGGATACTGGCGTGTATCAAGAATAGTGTGACCAGCAGGAGCAGGGAAGTGATCCTGCCCCTGTACTCGGCACTGGTGAGGCCGCACCTGGAATATTGTGTCCAGTTTTGGGCCCCTCGCTTTAAGAGAGATATTGAGCTCCTGGAGCGAGTCCAAAGAAGGGCGACTAAACTGGTCAAGGGGCTGGAAAATAAAACTTATGAGGAGCGGCTGAGGGAGTTGGGGCTGTTTAGCCTGGAGAAGAGGAGGCTGAGGGGAGACCTGATTACAGCCTACAAATACTTGAGAAAAGATGGTGGGAAGGTAGGGGAAGGGCTCTTTACATTAGTGATGGGTGATAGAACAAGAGGAAATGGGCATAAGCTTAGTCAGGGGAGGTTCAGTTGGATGTTAGAAAGTATTTCTTCTCTGAAAGGGTTGTCAGCCACTGGAATAGGCTGCCCAGGGAGGTGGTTGAGTCCCCATCCCTGGAGGTGTTTAAGAATAGGGTGGATGATCTACTTGAGGATATGGTTTAATGGGGATTAGGGATGGTTGGACTCGATGATCTCTAAGGTCTTTTCCAACCTAGAAATCTATGAAATAAACTTCTAAAGGTGCAAATATTATGCAGAAATAGAATTTGTGCTGAAAGGCAGTGAGTGTTAAGCACCTGTCGGAAGACTATATATATTTTTTTTGAAGTTAAAATAAGTTTTAAAAATTATACTGACAGTGCGTGCACCCTGAGAATAATCTGATGTGACATTTTGCATTACTGTGTGAGAAAGGAGATATTATGTTATTTTTTTTCCTGGAAAACCCTACCTTACCTTGCCAGAGGCATAGACAATTTTATACACATTTTATTACTTGTTTTTTAAAAAGAAGTTTTGAAATGAGATTTATGAGTTATCTTGCTATATAATAACAACCAGAATAGCTAACCCCCTCTTTTTTTTTTCTTTTTTTCCTTCCCTCTTCTCTCCTGAAGACTGGTTAAAAATCTTATTCTCATTTTCTTTTCCAGTGGCCTAATAGTCCCTGAAGTACGTGGAAATGAAACTGTTCCTGAAGTAGTTACTACATCTGGCTATGCATTGCTACACTTTTTTAGTGATGCTGCTTATAACCTAACTGGATTTAACATTTTTTACTCGTAAGTATTTTTAAAGAAGTAATTACTTTGTTAATCAGCCTATCATTTCTTTCAGGAGAATGACAAACCCAAGGGAAGTGTTTATCTCCTGATTTTATTAATAGCATAAGAGTTATGCTTTATGCTATGTTTCTAAAAGCAGGGAGCTGGGGTTGTAATGAGTTGTCTTTAAGGTACTGGTTTAAAAAAAAGAAAATGAAATAAAGTATATTCTTCTGAGTGAAGCCACATGGCCATTCCAAGAGTTTTTCCTTTGCTATATGGAACTCGAATGTGTCCCTTCCAGTATTTATCCAACACGTGTAGTTGTCATACGGAGTAGAAGGGAGATTACATCTGTTGTCACGTTCACTCCTTTCTCTTGAACTAAGATCATCTGTTGCTTGATTTTTTTTTTTTTTCTCTTGCTAAGTATACTTCTATGGCTTTTGACACCTTCAACAATGTCCTACTTTTGTGCTAGCCACAAGAGTTTTATTCCATTTCTTCTCTACTTTTCAGGTATTTTCCCCTCTAATTGTCCATCTCAGTCTGCATTCTGCCTTCATAGCTCTTATCTGGACTGTCTGTCTTTTAGTTTCTCTGATGGCAAAGTCTCATCTGGTATATGCTTCCTCCAGTCTGCTTTTTTCTGTGTCAGCAGCTCAAAAGATGCATTCAATGAACCTGAGCTTTTTCCTTCCTGTGTGCACCAGTTGTTGATTGCAACTTCTGTCTCATTTGGGACATGCTTGTGACAGATGACGCGGTGCCCCTTTCTACTGAGTGCTTTTGTTCAAGAGGGGATTGCTTGGTCCTATTGGACTTGCTTCTTCATGTGATAGTTTTCCCATGATTGAAGATATTCTTGTTCCTTTCTTGCAATTCCTTTAGATTCTGAAATACCAATTGTTTGGGATGTGGTGGCCAGCACCGCACTTCAAATGTGGAAGTACATATAATACTTATGTCATATTCATTATTAATTTAAAATTCCTAGTTGTGCTCCTGACCATAGGTTTACTCTTGGCAGAAGTCTTTTTTAAATTGTCTATGGAAAGATAGTTTATGTAATTCTCAGCAATTTGCCTGCCTTTTACCAGATCATAAATAGCTATTCAGAGTTTGGGGAACCTCACCAAATATGTTGTATTGGAAATGGCAGTATAGAAGACTTTTTAATTTTTGTCAGTTGACATCAGTAAAATGCGATCACCTGGCAGACTTCTGTAATTAGATAAATTTTTCAATTATCCCTGAAACTTTTATTGCACTTTTTTGTTTGTCTTGGGAGCAAATGGCAAAAAGACTTTGCATTCTGAAGAAATGGGTGTATGTGCTCTGCATTCTTTTATGACTTGGTAATGTGATTCATGCTGCATATCATTACATAATTTTTTAAAGATTTAAAATAAACTGCCAGTTTTTAATTCGATTGCATATATAACTCAGAAAATTTTATGTACTCTGTTCTTCTGTTTCTTCTATTGCAATGGATACTTTTAATTTTTTTTTTTTAAGAGAGCCAACAATAACTTTTTATGCTAAAAGAAGTACCTACAATTACTTTTAATGGCTGCATTAACTTTCTTTCTGTCACTAATCTGTTGTACTCTGCTTCTGTTACCCTCTTTCTTCCTTGGTTTGGTAATCTAAAGCAGTTTTTGACTTCCTCATGATGGACCACTCATGTCCTTTTATTTTGGAAAAGACAGAAGTACTGTGTCTGTGATGGAATTAGCATGCCAATTGCAAACAACAATAGTTACACCAGAACTCTGCCAATCCAATTTTCTTTGTTCTGTTTGAATCCTTAATGAACCCATTGGAGTGGGAATGGGTCTACCTTTAAATTGCTCTCTCTATTGCTGGAAAGACTTAACTGTTCACCTTCCGACAGAGCACTCTCCCTGTGAAGTCACGGGAAGAGGCTCCTTACAGCTGTGGTATACAGCTGTTAATGCTATCAGTGATTTTAATGCCATATGTGTGCTAGGCAAGACCCTCAGTACATTTGCAGTTCAGAAGTGGAATCAGAAACAGAATCAGTCCTCTGAGGTGTGAGTCTTTAGGGGAGGAAAACATCTCCTGACTGTCCTGCCACAGCTACCTTTGGCCAAAGGCCCTAACTTTTCCAGTTCCTTCTTCCTTTGGCAACAGCAAGTAGTAACTGTTTACTCTGAGTTTCAACCCAACCCTTTGCTGTGAGTCATCAAAAAAAGGTTTCAAATCCTTTTTGGATTTCATCAGTCACATAATGCCTGAGATCCATATTCTGTTTGTAGAAACTCTTGGACCCATGTATTTCAGTGTCCTCCATCCCTCCTCATCTCCAGGGAATTACCTGCATTTCTGGAACCAGTTTGCATATTTTTGCAGTCCGGTTGCCTGTGATCTCAGTGTTTAGTAGGGTGTATCACAGAAATGCTAACTCCCATAATAGTCACAGACTTCTTCCAGCCTAATCTCTCCTCTTTTGCACATCTGATTGTGAAGTGAAGGAGGCGAGGTTAAGGTGGCTCTGTTAGTAAGGTGTCAAATCATGAAGTCCTGCCTGCAAGTAGTTTCAGGATATTAGCCGCCTTGTTTTTTTCCTTGCTCAGTTTTTCCAATTTTATTTTCTTTGGATGTTAAACATACTGTTTTATACCATGGACTAAAGCCACTCAAGAAAACCCTTTAACTGTATGGGGGAGAGTTTAAGGGATACTGCTCACAGTCACTTGCAGTGTGGATGTTCCAAGAGATAATAAGCGTTTGAAGGAACTGACTAGAGTGCTTATACTGGAACATAGGAAAAAAAATAGATGGTGATCTGTCCAGGCACAGTGTGTCCCTCTGCTTAATTTCGGTACTTCTTGGTCAAGTACAAGATGTTTGTGATTCTGACTGCATTACAGCCTTTGTGTAAGCCTGGATGAACATCTTTTCAGCTCGCTTGAGTGTAAAATCATAATTAAACTTGTGTTTTAACAGTACATAGACATTTTTCAAGAAAAAAAAGCACTTTATCTAACATACTGTGGGGATACTGTCACATAAAACCATTGTCTTGAACTCTTGGCTTATTTTCCTTATTTTACATATTTTTTTCAGGATTAATTCTTGTCCCAATAACTGCTCAGAACATGGAAAGTGTACAACCAGTGTGTCCATACCAAGCCGGGTGTATTGTGAGTGTGACAAGTATTGGAAAGGAGAAGCTTGTGATATTCCATATTGCAAAGCCAACTGTGGCAGTCCAGATCATGGGTACTGCGATTTGACAGGCGAGAAGTTGTGTGTTTGCAATGATAGCTGGCAAGGTAAGGTTTTGTTATTTGCAATCAAGTTCATCTTTAAAAAAGAACTGCTTTTAATGCATCCTATCTAGTATGCAAATAAGCATAGAATCATAGAATCATAGAATGGTTAGGGCTGGAAGGGACCTTCAAAGGTCATCTAGTCCAACCCCCCTGCAAGGAACAGGGATATCTCCAACTAGATCAGGTTGCTCAGGGCCTCATCCAACCTGGCCTTGAACGTCTCCAGGGATGGAGCATCCACCACCTCTCTGGGCAACCTGTTCCAGTGTTCTACAACTCTCATGGTAAAAAATTTTTTCCTATCTTTAAAGAATAAGCATAAATTAAAGAATAAAGCATCTTTAAAGAATAAGCATAAATTAAAAAAATAGTTTCTGGAGTAAATTTTCACGTAGACCTAGATGTGTGTATTTTAATGACATAGAAGGCTCACAGCTGTCATATTTTCTGTTTGGAGATACTGTGGAAATATCCAACCTAAACTTTCTTGTGGTGAGCATTCTTCTTTTTAGATCATTAATTTGAAAGAATAATGACAGTAATTACTCAAGAGTTGTGAGCGCTTCTGGTGACTAAGTTCCTCTATTGCCTAGTTTCCTATTCTAATAAATTTTTTAAAATGTCTAGATAGATTTTATTTTCTCTCTTCTCCCCATTCCCTCCACCCCTTTCTTAATATCACATCATCACATCATATTTTTAATGCTTCATTAAGTGAGTATTCACTGTCTGGTTTTTAATTGTATATTATTTGTACAGTCTCTCAATAAAAAAGAAAGATAAGTCATTTTGTTATGATGTTACAAGAACGGGTATGTGGACATGTACGGTGGGGTAATGGCTGTACTGTAAGCACGTGCTGTAGTTTTACTCCCAAGACCACAAATAATTGTTTCGTATTAAAGGTCAATTATTTAAGATCCTAAATGTTTAATTCACTTAATGTAATTATAACACAGGTTTGTGATTTTTTTTTTTTTTGTCCTTTATCATTCCTTTTAAAAGTCTCAATTGGATTAGCTTGCCACTGAAATTCCCATTCTTCTCTTAAAAGAAATATTAAAATACCTCCAGATTACTTAGCTGATACGCCCTCTTCCCATTATTTCCTGCCTCTATTTCTGTTTTATTGATGTTTCTTTTTGCATGTCAGAGGAAATGACTTTTTTACTCCTTTTAGCTGTCCTATCTATTAGACCAACGACACCACGAGATTTAATGCATTTCTCTTCTTAATAATTAATGAAGTTGTTCATTAAAAGGCAGCCAGTGCACCCATAGAAAGGAAATGGGTTAGCAGTGTGGTCATTGAATGGAAGTAGTGCAGACTTGTTGCCGAGTCCTCCAGAACCTTTCATGATTGTAATGCACAGAAAAAGATCCCGAAAGCTTCATCTCTGTAAGGAAGCTGTGAACAGAACTTGCAGCAAGAATATCACCCTTTAATTTGTGCGTTGATTCTTTGCAATTTCAGGTCGCTGCTTACAAAATAGGGAAAAATCTCAAACCTTTGGAAATGCTTTTTAGGCTACATCTTCATTTATAGTGCTGTAATCTTTATTAGATGTTTTTAGCAAAAAAATAAGATTAAAATTCTAACTTTCATTGTTAATACCGTCTTTTCATCTAGCATTTCTGCACGTACTAGCTTCCTATTCTTTCCTACAGTGAGTAGGATTACGTAGAGATTATTTGCTTAGTTGTTCCTTGGGTTTTCACCAAATCTACATAGTTTTCAATTATTTTTTTTTTATTCTGTGCCAGATGAGCTGGCTTGCCTACATAATTGTTTTTCCTTCTTTAATACGAAATAATACCAAACTTTCCTTAAGCTCTCTGGGAGACTACTTGCCTCTCTGTTCTATTTATTGTTTTATTTCCATCTATGTACTCTCTTTATAGTTTCTACACTCACAGTATCTTCTGTATAAGCTGTTTGCAATGCTGGGACTGGAAATGGTTCTACTTATTTTGCTACTCTGTCAAGTTTTTCTCATGTTTGGTAATTCAAACCAACTGGCTAAAGTCAAGAGAAGAGAATTTTCTGAGGTTTTTTTTTTAACTTTGAGTATATTGAGTCCCTGTATTAAAAAAACAATTGGACTTCATTGTTTGAGATACGTAATAAGTAAAATCCATAGTTCAGAACATAAAAAGGGTAGTTCGTGTTTTAGAACACTTGAGGTTTCTTTAACAATGGTGACACCTTGTGGATGCTGTGGAAGGACCAGCTCTGAAGAACATTTCACATTTAAAACAAGTATTCTGAAAAAAGAAAACACTGTATTCTTTGGGATGGAATAATTGTTTTGAGTAAAAAGTAGAGTCCTCTCGTTATTAGATACATTTTGTGGAAGAAGGATGTTGTAAATGTTTGCAGTTAGCTGCTAGTCGTACAAATATAGAATAATGCCATGACAATAAAAACTTGTAGGCTTGGAAAGCAAATAATATAATAATAATAATGATTTTGTCTTTAACAAAAAGTATATTAAACAAAAAATGTACTTATTAAATGTACTTTTTGTTAAAAATAAAAGTTATTTTTAATAATGCTATTCATGTTTAATAGTGTTAAATGTTTCTGAGATAGGTGGTCTCAGAAGTACATACAGGAAGAAAATTTAGTATTTACTTTAAATCTGCTTAATTTAAAATATTCGGGCAACTTAAAGGAGGCGGAAGTTTTTCCTGAATAGTGATTCCTTTTGTAAATACTATGTCAAATCATGCTGTCCCTTTACTGGCTAATCTGTCTTGATATTCTAAAGCTGAACTTGTCTATGCCTGCTGATACTGGCTGTGGATGTAACTCAGGGAGGAAAAAAAGATGTCTCAAAACTACCAACTTGCTCTCTTTTTCTTGATTTAATACCATGTAATGGAAATAACTAGCCTGCCACTTATTAAATAGGTTAAAAACTGTTTTGCAGAAGGTATTCAAAATACAACTACAGGTAAAATATGCAGTAGCAGAGTGATTAGTTGGAGAATGACCAGTTTTTCTCTGATATTAATCAACATTTTTATAAAATACCTGGATTATTACATATAATTTTTCCTGATAAAATTTTCAGGTAAGATAGTAAGATTCGCTGTGTGGTAAATAAAGATAGATAGTTTCATTTTTAAAGAGCTATAACTCATCCAGTTCAAAGAAATAATTTAAAAAATTGTCTTAGTATCAGTTGATGTAAAAAGTTCTAGGAACAAAGACTGCAGGCTGTATTGTCAAACAAAAGGCTGACTTAGACTGTTAAAAAACTTGCAAATGACTGTAGGTCATAATTTTCATGTGAGGAATTTTGAGTAGAGAGCAAGTGACCCTTTCTCTGAGGTAGACATTTGGGAGATAACATTGGATTATAGTGCCCAGTCTGGGGACGGGCACTTCAGGGTGGAGCGTAAATACCTGCCAGAATTCAAGTTACGCCACAAAACTGCTGCGCTTACTAGGAAACAATCCTGTGATGGGAAGATTAAGGAGTTAGTGGTGACTTTAACACTTAGTGGGAATCCTCACTGAGAGCTCCTGCACAGGCATGATATCTCCTTGATCCAGTATGATGTGGGGATGCTCTTGATGCTGGTACCTTTTGCACTGGATGCAGAAAGGAAGACTTGAAGATTGTTGAATTTAGGAGAGACTTTATTGGCTTTGATGCTTGAATCCTCTGATCCTTGATCAGTACTGCAAGCAGAAAGGGGATCTAACAGGGAGGAATGACAGGGTGTGTTTCCATTAGTCTTTCAGCGAATCAGTAGGTTACCTTTGAAGCAAATCTGATCCTCCACGTGTGGTGTGTTTTGGCTTGCATTGTGAGGTGGTTTGAAAGCACAGGAACTGCATTCCTTTTAGAATGAAAAATGTAATCTATTTAAAACAAATCTATAACCTTCTAAATGTTTAAAATGCATGCAAATACGTGTAGCAAGGTAGAACATGTAAATGTTTGATTGAACTTATGAACAAATGCAATACTATATCCGGAATGCAAGAAGGGGATAGATCTGATCTCCCTGATAACAGAAGAGACTAAATTTAGGTCAGTATCTGTAGCAGCTTTATTTAAGACTATGAAGAAAACAATTCAGACAGCTCAAAACTCGTTAGCTTGATTTCAACAGTGTGTAAATTTCTAGACCATAATTTGAGGAAAGAAGTAATTAAGTGTATAGTATGATTGAACAGTGAAACAGTTGAAATGTGGATTTATCAGTGTAGATCATACTAAAATAATTTGTAAGAAAAGTGACAAGAAAGTGCAATGTATTTTATCTGAACCTCAGCACTTGATGATAGGCAATCATTGAAACTGAAGAAGTCAGAATACGTAAGGGAGTAGTAAGGGGAACACAGCTTGTTAATTGTGAAACGTGAGTGGGCGCGCTGGGCAAGTGACTTCAGATGGAGAGATGTCAGTACTGCGTAAATACTCATCTTGGGACCGAGCTCGTTACTTAATTTTTATAAGCTACTCATAAGACCACTAATGAAATCTGGTAATACAAAGATGAGTATTACTTCAAATATGAAGGAGGAACAGAATATCCTGCAAAAAAGGTTTAGAGTAATGTGTGGGATGCAATTACTTGAGTATAAATTGTAAATTCATACATTTAGCGACTAAGAGTATTAAGAATTTCTTTTATAATCTTGGACTTAAGTGTGGAAGGTGACATGGGAGAAAACTTGCTTGTCTATGTCAATTAGAGTATGAACTGATTCATTAATTTTACATGCTTTGAGCTATATACTGTCAAGTGCACTAGAAGGATGATCAGTCACAGAATCTACAGTTAAATATACGAAAACATTAGTACTATAGTTCATTTTTCTTACTACACTTTTATGAATACAAATTGAAATTGGGCCCAAAGGGAGAACAATTAGGATGGTCAGGGCTATCGAAGATAACGGCATGGTTTGTTTAAACTGGTGAAATGAAGGCTGGGAGGGAATAGTGTTGCTGTCTATAAACATTTGTGGGGTGTATAGA